CCGACCATCACCGCGGGGCCAGATCCACGGTGTTCTGTCGAAGTCAAGGCTTCTTGGCGGACGCCTCGTCGGGCAAAAGGGTCCGCGGTCGGCATGGGCAACGCGAGCACAAGCAAAACCTCGGTCAGTCCCCCGTTCTTCGATGATGGCCCTCTCGAGGCCCCGTCTCTGGAGGGGCCCCTGCGACCTCGCGCCCGCGCCCCGCTCAACATTGCAAAGCGAATGCCAGTGGCGAGTGCAACGCTCGGCCCTGCCTTGGCCAAGCCAGCATTGCATCGCATCGGGAGATACGCACTGACGAGCTAGCCCATGATCATCATAGCTGACAAGGCGTCGCGCGCCATCTGCCTGAGACGGGGCTGGGCGGCCCTCCCTCTGAGGCGGGCCCCCCCCGCGGGCGAGCCCCCCACAGTGGGGCCCCAGGTCCACGACCCCTCCTTGGCGGGGCCCTTGGGGCCCTCGCACCGGGAGGGCGATGGGCGCCGGCAGCCGCTGGAGCGAGCACCGCTGGAACGCGCGCGCGAGCGCCCGCGCGAATAGCTGCGGACGCGACCATGGCGCTGCATGCGCTGGTCTTCCGATTCCCACTCTTCTTCATCATCATCTGAGCGGTTCGCGCGTCTCCAGACTTGGCGGCTCGATGGTCGCCTCTGGCGGCTCGGAGACCGCCTCGCTGCCGCGAATGTAAACAGACGGTCTTCATGATGTCCAAGTTCGCACTGAACGCGCTCTGAAAGGTCGCCGGCATCTCGCGGGACCCCCCGCAAAGGATCGTCGCCATGCGACCCCATGTTTGTCGGGTCGAGAATGACCTGAGGATGAAGCATCATTTGCACTTCCTCTTCCGTCGCTGGAATCGTGGCCTCGGAATCCGCGGGCGCCCCCGCCATATCTTGATCTACCTCAGCGGGCATATGGAAATCCTCAATAAATTCGATATGCGCAGGTTGCCGCGCGATGGGTATGTCTGACCAGTCTGCCGGGTTGATCTCGTCATGTCCAACGCATATCTCCTCGAAAAGGTCGTCGGCGTAATTCTCGGGGGACATGCTGGCACTCAGATATCTGGCAGTCATGAAATTAACAACTGTAACTGGATTGTCGGCAGGGTCGGCCAGTAAAGTTCCCCAATCGACATACTGCATGTCCGAATCTGTTTGAGCCAAATACACCGATGGACCTCTGCCCCCCCATCGCCCCGGGGGCGTTCGCGGCGAGAATGTTGCGCGTCATGGCAGACGTCACATTGCATTATTTTGCCGCTAGCGTCTTTCGGGTTGCCCCGACGCCCCCTGCCCTTCCCGACGCGCGCCTGCGACCCCTGCCTGCGCCCAAGAATAGTTCTTCATATTGTGGTCCAGTGAGGGCTGCCAGGAAAACTAACATACCTCTGCCATGCAATCGCCATCGTTTGCCCTGACCCTTGCCTCGACCCTTGCCCTTTTCCCCGATGTGCCCGTCGGATAGTACGTCGTACCTTACGAATTGGCTTCTTCAGAAACCGTCTCCATCTGCGTTCATGCTTCTGATATCCTAGAAACAGCCATTGAACCTGTTGTTCTTCCGTAAAATACGCGGACATGTCGGAGTAGACTAGGGCATTCGCTTCGTCGCCTGATGTTTGTCGGCGTCGGTTCCAGAGTCGAAGTCCGACTCAGCGGGCCGCCCCGTTGAGCCTGCAGGGGCAGTGGCTTGCGCAGGGGCCGCCGTTGCCAGCGGCCCCTGATATCTGGCCCAGGAGCCCTGCGACCCCGTAGCCGGACCACCACTTCGAGCTAAGAGCGCGGTGGTATCCGTTGGTTGCGGATCATCATTCCAGACGTTTGCGCAGGTTGCCCTGCGCTGGCTTTAGCATGAAAAGTTTCGGCGCGGCGGCCGCGGCTGAAAATGCCACCAATATCGCCTGGGGTTCGCTCAGCAATGTGAGCACATGACCTCGCGCGCTCAAGCAGAGAATCAATGTGCTGCTGGTTCCTCTGCATTTGGTGGTTAAGCGGCCGTAGAAGTTGTTGTGCACGCGACGTCCCCACCCCTAAAGATCTGAACAGGATAACCGCTCAGATTTGAAGGCGAGAGAAGTTGAGGCCTGCCGATTCAGCCTCATAGCGGACTATCTCGAAGCGCGCCAGTGTCTGGTCGATCCGTTCCCCCGCATGGACTCGGACGTCGACGAGAGCAGTACCCGGATTACGTCGGCGTTCCTCCTCTAAGTTCTCAAACTTCGTGTTTTGGAGGAACACGATGTAGGTGACACCATCAGTATGGCGGCCACCTATGTCGACGTCAAACTTAATGAATGCTGGGGGAACTCCCATGGCTATGGTCCGCACGAGGCCTCCCAGACCACGCTGCAGCGCTGCAGCTTGTTGGGAGGGCGTCACATTGCCTGTGGCCACGTTGATCCAGGCGTGTACCTCTCGAGCGAATTCGCAGAAAAAAGGCACTTGACCGGCCGGGCCCCAATGGGGGCCGGTTGTCCTTGCGTCGTCTCCGCCACGCACACGTCCCACCGCACACCCGATAGCAACCCATATGAGACCAAAGACAGTAACACCAATCCAGTGGCCCCGTAGGTCGTGGTCGGATGTGGTTGGCTGAAGTCTGCGGTGTTTCGTTGTAGGCCTGCGTGGGGTTGGAAGCAGCACAATATCGTATCGCACGTTGCCGTGCATAAAATATTCGACAAAGTTTCCAAATGGAATAGGTGGGTGGACTTCAGGAGTGTAGCAGCGCAGGGATGTAGGACTCAAGTAGGAGGCTTCTGCGAGAACAGAGGTAGCAATGCAAGTGTCCTTGCGATTATGCGTAAGTATGTACATTCTTCCGCGCAGACCCACTGCACCCTGATGTTCCACCATGTCAGTAGTCCACCAGATAATGCCGTGGATGGTGCGGAGTAGAGCTAGAGCTGACCACCATAGGCCAGCTCCGCTACCAAGTTTGGAGGGGGCCGGTAGGCCCGTCGAGAAGCTACGCCTTAGACGAAGCACAGCTCCTGCTCTGTTGTATAGTAGCGACTGTCCCAGTCGTAGGAGGTCGTCGCGGGAGCGACGGGCCATCTCAAGCGAAGGATGTTTTCGGTTTCGATGGCGTGTAGTATGCTTCGCAATGAGGCGCCATCATATGTTGGCGGCTGGCCGCTTGAACACAAACGGCCGCGGACAAACGCTCGCTATCTCTCGCCCGTGTCCCAGCTCACTTTAAAGTTTAGAAGCCAAGGTGACCTCCGAAATGGTTCAACATAGTTGAAGATGGCTCAAGATAGCCTCCCACATACATCGAAGACGCCCCAAGACGGCCCTAAGATGATGTCGAGTGCCCTCCAAGCCCTCCAAAGACCCCCCAAAGAGGCCAACATGGCCCCAAAACGTTCGGAAAATCAATGATGTTTGCGTTTTCGCCTTTTCGCTTCTGACGGGCTTCCACGGTCCCGAGATGGCCACATGACGGCCCATGAGAGCCCCAAGAGGGGCCGAAGAGGGCCCCGCGAGGGCCCGATGAGCGCCCAAAAGCACCCCAAAAGCGCCCCAAGAATGCCCCTAAGAGGCACTTTTTGAGCCTCCGATGGGGGGGCCTGAATCGGGGAGACGTAAGACCCGGTTACGGGAGACTCGGAAATCCCCGACGAGGTCGTCAAAAAAATGACGAGGCCGAGCCTGCATTTTGACGAGGCCTCCCGCTGCAGACATCCCACGAAACTCCTCCTCGTCAAAATCCGAGTCGCGGTCGTCAAAGAACGATGGCGAACCCGAGTCCCGGCAAACCCGGGTTTTACGCTCCCCCGACTGAATTCAGGACCCCCCAAGTTCCTTTCGAGCTACGGGGGCCGAGACGGCCCCAAGAGACCTCACAAGCCCGCCCCAAAGGCCCACAGAGGGCCGCAAGATGGCCCCAAAAGAGCCCCAAGAGGGCCCCAGGACAAGGCCCCAAGAAAACTCCAAAATGGCACCAAGAGGCCCCCGAAAACCTCTCACAGCAACGCTTCAGCTCGCCTGGCAAACTGTTTCCGAATGGGCTGGTGGGGATATGTTTTGATCGAGCGGCCGGTAACCAGCAGGAGCCTAAATTGCACACGAGAGCGGGGGGAAGAGAGACAGTAGCAGAACACCGGGAGGTGAGACAAGCCGGGGCGGGCCGCGCGGCGCTCACGGAGGGGGTGCCATCGGCAGCAAGCAGCCGCAGCAGGTGCACGCCAAAATGGCGGGTAATTAGCTGGCAGTGTGGTGTCCCGTGACCGCGGCGAGGGGCAACCCCGCGGGAGATAGCGGGCCGCAAGAACCTGCGCCTGTACGGGGGCCAGCACGCGGGTGACTGAGCGCGGCAAGGGCGATGCACCCCTGCAACGGGATCAAGCCTTCAGGCGCGTCGAAGCCGATGGCGGCGGCGGCGGAGCGAGTGAGCGGCGACGACCGAACAGCAATGCGAGCAGAAACTCATGGACGGCAGCAGCAACAGCGGGAAGAGGAGGGCAAGCAGAATGGAGGAACCGAGGACCGAGTCGGAGGAGAGGGGGTGGTGGGGCGCAGACATGGCGGGAGTCCGCGAGCTCTCGTCATCGTGCCGCGAGGGGGGGGGGGCGCGCAGGGGACTGGGGGCAAGACCGAAGCCCAGTCCCCCTGCGGCGCTCCGTGGCTGACCCCTCTCGCGGCGCCCCGCGAAGGGGGCTGGAAGGCCCCTCGATGAGGGTCGCCACCCACTGGCCCCGGACCTCCGCCCGGCAAACTTTGAAAGTGGGGACCGGACAAATGGGACGATGCCCACCAGCAACAGCGGTGGCTGTCCGTGGGCGCATCCTGGTCCTGCGTCTGCCCCAACGTGCATCGCTGGAGGAGGAGACTGCGCATAGAGAGGTCTCAGGGGTCTTCGACCTCAATCCTCGGCCCCGTTCATTCTTGGCGCGAAGCGTCAAGAACTAACGGAGAATGCCACCTGTACTCCGGGGGGTGTCCAGGCAGTCAGCGACGATCCCTGCAACCGAGCGGATTCAAATGGGACATCTCAAATGTTTGACGATGGCAGCACAGTCACCCCACTCCACCACATTAGCTACAGCAACAAATACGTAGCGAACGGAAAGGAGGAAGGAGGGACGGCAGAGGAGAAGAGGTGGACGATTGCAAAAATGCCATGACGCAGGTCGCCCCGGCAAACTGGCAACCCAATGGCGCCAAGCAAACTAAGCAGCCGGGCTGAGAGTTGAATCTGGCAAAAGCAGGGAGGGTGAACTGCAGTGCTGTGTGATTCCCATGGGGCCCCATCGGCCAAATCGATGGCATCAAGCACAACGGCGCGTATAATCAGAAACAGGGAGGGGGGAGACGGAGGAAAACGGACCGCTTTCACTCAGCGGCTGAGTATCGCTTAACCGATCCCCATCCCCAGCGGCGTGGCCTGGGCCCCAATGGCCAATTTACCCCCCTCGATGGGGATAGAGGTCGGTCCCTTCGGGTTTCGAGGGCTGTATCCCCAACTGGGGTGGTAATTTGGTGGGGGTCTCGAAGGGGATGGGGATGGGGATCGGTCAACCGATGCCGAGCGGCATTGACTGCTGGCGCGCAGTATGTGTATGAATGGGTCACTATAGACCACCGCCAGAGCAGCCTGCGGGACAGCCCACGGGAGAATCCGCAGCACGCACGGCTCGGCCCTGCCCGCGGCAGTGACACACCGCCCCCTCGTCCGTCCGCGAACGCCATGAAACGGGCGGCCAACACGCCACCATCGCATCGCCGCCAACACGCCACGATCTGGGGACCCCGGTGAGCCCAGCCCGCCGTGCCCTGCCAGGGCGATGTGCTCAGAAGAGGCCCGAAGAGGGATAACTGCCCCAGGCCTGCACCAGGAAAACAGGCGGTCAGGGCAGCACCAAAACAAGACACAGTAAAACTTAATATCAGACAAAGGGGTCCGCTGATGTGGAGCAGGCTTGACGAATTAGCAGCAGGGTAAGCTCGACCACAAGAAGCCCAACCTTGAGACCCCAGGACGTCCATTGATTGTTGGTGCGGGAGCGCCGCGCTCTCCATAGCAAAAACCCATCGAACACCAAGAAACCCAGGGCACCCTGGAGTCAAACAGGCTGTTTCTTGGCACGGGTTTCCCCTGCATGGTACTGAGTGAAGTGCCTTGGGGCTTTGCCAGAGCCAGCTCAAACATTGGCCCGAAGGGTACAGGGCAGGAACTGTCGCACGCGCCAGAGAAGAGCGGGAGCAGGAGGAGAAGAGTAAAGGGGCCCAGGGACACTAGGCACAAATCCCAGAATCCCCTACAATTTCTTGAATATTCTGGGTGTTCGGCTTCGCCCTCACCTCCCGTGTTTTCCCATACTCCTGGGGGTCGGCGATTACTTGTGCCTGTGTTTGTTTTCCCTTCCTTATTAGAAAGGGGGAGGAGGAGAGAAGGAACGGACAGACGCAGCGTAGAGGCCAGCCGTTGGGCCGTCTTCGAATGTTTCGGTGGTGTCTTGAGCCGCCTTGGGGCTAGATTGGGCAATGCTGAACTCTACCAGAGGCCCTCTTGAGCGGGTCTTCGGGGACTCTCTTGGAGACCTCTTGGGCAATCGTGAAGCCCTTCGAAGCCCTCTTGAAGTCATGTTGAGCAGAGCAGGCGACGACTGCAAAACATGTAAAAGCACACAAATCTATGTTTACAGTCTGGGTGACTGGGGTCTTGCTTAGAACGTCAGCGATCCTGTCTTGAAGCCCTCTTGGAGCCGTCTTTGGGTCATTTGGGAGCCTCTTGGGCCAAAGGCATCTTCAAGGTCACGGGGGCCAAAGGACTTTGGTGCAGGTGGAGTGGCGAAGAAAAGTAAGTCACCCCGGGGCGCTGGGAGCCCGTCGGTACCCCCGAGAGGCTGAATCGGGGGCACCGGGGGGGGGAGGTGTTTTGAAAAGGTGGGCCGCCCCTGGGCCAGAGACCGCGAGGGAGAGATGATGATGGTGATTATGGTGATGGTGATGGTGATGGTGATGGTGATGGTGATGGTGATGGTGATGGTGATGGTGACGATGGTGTTGATGACGATGGCGATGACGATGACGATGATCGCGATGATGATGACGATGATGATGACGATGATGATGATAATAATGATGAGTAGGATGATTATGATGATGGCGATGCTGATGATGATGCTGATGATGATAGGGGATGATGATGATGATGGTGAGAGATGCAATGGTAATGGTGATAATGATGATGCGATGATGATGATGATGATGACGACGATTATGCTGGTGCTGATGCTCAAGCTGATGATGATGATGATGATGATGATGATGGTGCTGGTGATGATGATGATGGTGGTGGTAATGATGATTATGATGAGAATGATGATGCTGGTGATGATGATGATGCTGGTGATACTGGTGGTAATGACGATGGTGATGCGTCTGATGATGATGATGATGCTGTTGATGCTGTTGATGATGATGATGATGATGATGATGGTGATGGTAATCATAATGACGATGGTGGTGATGATGATAATGTGGCGATTATGATGGCCATAATTATGATGCTGGTGTTGATGATGCTGATGATGCTGCAGATGGCGATGATGGTGATGATGATGGTGAAAATAATGATGATGATGCTGATGCTGATGATGATGATGACGATGATGATAATGATGATGGCGATGCTGATGATGATGATGATGATGCTGATGATGATGATGATGAGTGTGCTGCTGCTGCTGACGACGACGAGAATGATGATAATATGGTGCTGATGATGTTGATGATGATGATGCTGATGCTGATAATGGTGATGCTGATGATGAGGATGATGATGGTGATGGTGATGGTGATGATGATGATGATGCTGATGATGAGGATGCTGGTGATACTGGTGGTACTGATGATGGCGATGCTGGTGATGATGATGATAATCCTGGTGATAATGATGATGAGGATGGATGCTGGTGATACTGGTGGTAATGACGATGGCGATGCTGCTGATGATGCTGTTGATGATGCTGATGGTTATGGTAATCATGATGATGGTAATCATGATGATGATGATGATGATGACAATAATGATGATGCTGATGATGGTGATAACGATACTGCTGATGATGATGATGGGGATGCTGATGATGCCGGTGATGATGATACTGATGGCGATTATGATGGCGATGAGGATGCGGGTGGTGATGATGCTGATGATGATGCTGCTGACGATGATCATGGTGATGACGATGGTGATAATAATGATGATGATGATGATGCTGATGCTGCTGATGGTGATGACGATGATGATAATGATGATGGCGATGATGATGATGATGATGATGATGATGATGGTGATGATGATGATGATGTTGATGTTGATGATGATGAGTGTGCTGCTGCTGCTGACGACGACGAGAGTGATGATAATAGGGTGGTGATGATGATGGTGATGATGATGGTGATAATAATGGTGATGATGATGATGCTGATGATGATGATGATGATGACGGTGATGGTGATGGTGATTATGATGCTGATGATGAGGATGTTGGTTATACTCGGGGTAATGATGACGGCGATGCTGGTGATGGTGATTATGATGCTGATGATGAGGATGCTGGTTATACTGGGGGTGATGATGACGGCGATGCTGGTGATGGTGATGATGATGCTGGTGATGATGATGATGCTGGTGATACTGGTGGTAATGATGATGGCGATGCTGATGATGATGCTGGTGATGATGATGATGATGATGCTGATGATGATGACGATGATGATGATGATAATAATGATGATGATGATGATGATGATGATGATGATGATGATGATGATGATGATGATGATGATGATGATGATGCGCCCGTCGGAGGCGGAGTGTCCCAGTTGCCAAAGTAACCCAAGAGGTAATATATCCTGTTCTGTTCTTACAACCCATGTTTCACAAGAACTCGCCTGCCAATTTCCGAATAAATTTGGGGTCCCGCGTCCCCGTCGGACTGCAACGGGAGGTCCCAGCGGCGGGCCTCCCTCTGTCCCGTGGCCGCAGAGCGAGAGAGGGAGCGAGGGAGAAGCGCATGTGTCAAATGTCAAGTTGCAACAGGAGACGACTTTGGCGCTGCGGCGAACGTGTCGAAGATGGCCACGAGCGCGCCCGGGGCTGGCCCAGTAGTCGAACCGCTCATCCACCAGCGTGCGTACTCGAGCGGCGTGCCGACGGTATTCTTCACGGTGGGGTCGGCGCCTTCGGCCAGCAGCAGCTCGCACAGTTCGACGTTGCCTCGCAGCGCCGCGTCGTGCAGCGGAGTGTTGCCCGGAACCGAGCCGAGGAAGTGAATAATCTTGTTCGTGGAGCCGAGGGCGGTCCCCAGGCGCATGAGAGTGCAGGCGGTGCGGAAGACAACCGACGGCGGACTGCACGGCTCGTTGACGTTTGGCTTGCCAGGCGACGCCAGGAGCGCCTTCATCACCTCGTTGTCGGCGTCCACGTTGAAAGCGTGGTCGATGAGCGGCGTTCCGCCGAAGTCGTTCCGCGCGCGGACGTCAGCGCCCCTTCTGATGAGGAGCTGCACCGTCGCCAGCTTGTCGGTGCCGAAGGTGCACGCGTGGATGAGCGCCGTGTTCCCGAACTTGTTGCGGCGCTCGAGGTCCCAGCCAGGGTTCGCCTGCAGCCAGGCCTCGATGTTGTCCGCGCGGCCGAGGAGGCACGCGCCCATCAGAGGGTCGTTCCCGTGGGAGGACTCGATGGCCTCAGGGTTGGCCCCCGCGTCCAGCAGAAGCTGGCAAGTCTCCGGCGAGGCATACTGCATAGCTAGAGGAATAAAAAAACGGCATTCACATAAACTTGCGGATCTCCGCGTGGACTCCGCGCGCCCCGTAAGCGGCCCCAGAGGCGAGGCCAGGGGATTCCAGCGCAGATCCGGACATTCGCGAGGAGCTCCAAACGTTTATGCTTATGTCGTTGTCTCTCCCTCGAATAGCGAGGTGCAGCGCAGTGGCGCCCTTCGCGACGCCGAGCTCCTCCCGCGTCTTCAGGAGCGCCGAGTGCACTGCGGCCTTCCCGGCGGGCTCCCTCACGCAGGCGTCCGAAATGGGGTCCGAGTCGACGGGTCCCGAGGACCGCGCCGCATCGCCACTGCGTCCGCGAAGCATCGATGCTGCACCGGCGATGCACCGGCGACGTCGGCGATGTATCGGCGCCGTCGGCGTGGAGAAAGTCGGGGTCCACATCGAGCCGCATCGCCGATGCAACGGCACCGCAGCGTGGTCCTCCGACCCCATGTGCTGGGGGGCACTGGGTGGTACTGAGGGGCCCTACCCACTTCCTCCTCCTCCTCCTCCCTCTCAAGTGCGGCGCAGGTTCGCAGCCATTTCCGTAGTCAGTTTGTGCTGGGAGCCCCAGCATCGTCTCCGCCTCAACGTGGCACTTGGGTGGCACCGGAGCGGCATCCTCGTCTCTGCAACGCTCAACCAGTTGGCGAAGAGGGACGGTTTCAGGGTCAGGCCACGCAGTTTTGCAATTTGTTCTGGCAGGGTGCTGTATTGCTGTTTGTGGGTTTCTTCAGGGCAAACACGGAGGAGGTTGTCAAGTTTGTTCTTATTCTAGCTATTGTTGGCTCTAGGACTTTCTGGTGGTTTGCCATCCCAGGCGGTCGGGGTGCCAGGGGATGGTTTCCCTTGTGGCACACCGCTTGGGATTCAGCGGTTTGCTACTCTGGTCAATGGTGGTGCCCTCCCAGGCGATCGGCGTGCCAAGGTTTTTTCTTCCCTAGTGGCACACCGCCTGGGGTCCAGCGGCTACTACATCGTGGGCTTCAATCTCGAGGAACCTGAGGGTGCTGGGTATCACGTCATCGTCTTTACGGTGCTGGCCCTGTTACTCGATAATGGTGAAGAGCGCGGCCAAATTTACCCATCGGTTTCGTCTTCAATGCCCACTTCGGCACACAGATTCCCTTGTCAGTGTATTCCAAGTTTCGTTTCAGCTTTGTATGTTGGTGGGAGCGTTGGCGTGACGGTCGCAGCCTTCTGGATTCAGATTATGGGTGAGACGGGCGGCGTCAGCATTGCCTTCGGTCTGCATTGCGTCGCACTCGGGGGAGCTACCAGACGGCTTGATGATGCACCTGTAATGTGGTGTGTTCGAGGTTGTCCTTTCCCGCAGGCGTCGTCGCTTCAGGTCCCCGTGGTCATCGTCCCCTGAGCTCGGGGAGGCGAGAAGTTTCGTTTAGGACAACGTCCTGGAACTCTGACTCTCACTCTTACTCGTACTCTTACTCCTCCTCCCTCCTCCTCCTCCTCCTCCTCCTCCTCCTCCTCCTCCTCCTCCTCCTCCTCCTCCTCCTCCTCCTCCTCCTCCCCTCCTCCTCCTCCTCCTCCTCCTCCTCCTCCTCCTCCTCCTCCTCCTCCTCCTCCTCCTCCTCCTCCTCCTCCTCCTCCTCTCCTCCTCCTCCTCCCTCCTCCTCCTCCTCCTCCTCCTCCTCCTCCACCCCCCTCCTCCATCTTCTCCCCCTCCTCCTCATCTCTCGTACTCTTACTCCTCCTCCCCCTCCTCCTCCTCCTCCTCCTCCTCCTCCTCCTCCTCCTCTGCTCGGACCCAATCTGAGAGGCCCAGACCTCAGCAGCTCGGCCACTGCCTTCGTGTCGTCGGCCCACGCCGCCCACAGCAGCAGTGGTGCGCCCTCCTCCTCGACCCACGCGGCCTCCTCTGGACAAGCACGCTCCACTGCTCGCAAAGACACTGCTCGCAAATGGCCTGGCTCCGCCGAGGAGGATTCACGACCCCTTTACGTCGAGACGAGCACGTTTTGTTCGGACGCTTGCGAGCAGGCACCTGGCGAGCCGTGGCCCGCGCCCGGCGATCCTCCGCCTCGCTGCGCCAGCCCAGCCGCTTCTTCAGCAACGACACCGCCGGGCTGCTGCTGTCCCCGACGGGCTGACATGTTTGCGCCTCGTCATCGCCCAGCCCCGCCAGCAGCCAGTTGCGCATCACCACGAAGTAGCGCATCTCGAAGAGCCTGAGCGTCTGGCTCAAGTGATTCACCTTGGCATCGAGCATGGTCACCATGACCTTCTTGATCTTCGGCTTATCGCATTCGACTGGGCCCGAGCCGAAGTCGTGATTCACGGCGCAGCAGGAGAACTCGCCACGACCCGGGCGGAGGAAATTGATGTCGAGGGAGTGCATGAAGTCGGGGCGGAACTCGGGGCCCTGTACGACGAGCATGCGGACGTCCCTGGTTGCCAGAGTAGCGGCGGCATACTCTAGGCGGCACCAGCCCCGGTTGCGCCAGCTCTTGAACGAGCAGATCTTGCCGGTGTTGGCGTGCCGGGCAGGCGGAGCGAGCACGAGAACCAGGTCGGTCAGCTCAAGGTAGGACGGGATGGAGCTGACCGCCTTGCCAAGGTTTACGGCCAGCTCCGAGGTCAACGAACGATGGTCCTGAACAGTCTCCCTCCTCCTCCTCCTCCTCCTCCTCCTCCTCCTCCTCCTCCTCCTCCTCCTCCTCCTCCTCCTCCTCCTCCTCCTCCTCCTCCTCCCCCTCCCCCCTCCCCTCCTCCTCCTGCTGCTCCTCCTTCTCCTCCTCCTCCTCCTTGTCCTCCTTGTCCTCCTTGTCCTCCTTGTTCTCCTCCTCCTCC